TGTTGAAAATCGAGTTGTTCATTGTATTAAATTCAATCTTAATATTAATCTTTTTTGTAACAATTCTCTAAGTTATTCTTACAAAGCAACCGTTAATGTCTACTCTACACTTGTAGGGGTGAATCTTATATGGGGTGGCGCACGAGTGGATCGAAGGTCGTTGCGCACAAGTCTCTGGGGGATTCGTTGAAGAATGCTAACTTGAAACCAGCAGATCTCATAACACCGAAGTTTTACGGTGATACAGATACAATTACTTGTAAGGTAAACGACGAGTCTAGCAAATAGTTTCTTAGTGGAATGGATATTTGAAACTATCAGCGAAACTTGGCTATATATTGGGTATTGATACGTCCTAAGAACGGGACGCTTACCTCGTTTCCTAGCGAAGTGGTATTTACATGAATGCTCTGTTAATTTTACTTTCGAACATAAAGAAAGTTGTTCTATTATTATATGGTGCACTTTCTTTTAATAATATTCTACAACTCAAAAGGAATCTATAAGTACATAATTTTTATATATTTTCCAAACCTGTTAACGTGTTAAAAACGCGGAAAACATCGTTTGATTTATAATAAGAGTTTCGAAAAATGTGTTCTTTGCTCTGTAGAAGTAGATATCCGATCTACGTAGTTCAATGGTCGATAAGCACAAGCGGCTGGATAAGGCGCCCATTTTCAGTTCGATAACAAAAAAAGGTGTACAGCTGAAGATATAAATTCTTTTAATTACATTATAAGTTCTTCTTATTAGAGATGGTACTTTAGATTATCTTCGATCAGAATGCAATTAGAATAACAAAACGCGCGTGTTTGGATACATTATATTCCATAATAAAGCTTCCGATCCTTATCTCGCTGGAAGTTTAATGCCTTTATCTGAATTCGAAGATCTTCGACTGAACTTCAATGTAATCAGCGATCACTATCAAACTTCTAATCAGTGATTCTTCTAAATTCTAAATAGCAGACGACTGAGATACTAGTAACGGCAGAAATACCGATTCGATCGAAATCGCATGTAATATCGGTATATTTAGACTTACGCAATCATAGTATGAACTAATACTGATAATACTCTAACTTTACCTAACGAACATTCCAACTTCTGATTGAATGAAACATGTTACGAACTAACTAAATTCGCTAATTGGTATATAACAATATACATCTTGAATCAATGAAATAAATATTATAATAAATATTTAATACTAATACTAATTCGTAGAAAATAATAACTCTTCAGAAATTATTAGTTGAAATAAAATTCAATTTAAAAAGAATTGGTTGCTAACATCTTAACGGATTCTATTCATTTAAATAAGATTGTACAGTATTTTAGAAAAAGATGAATATTTACGAATCGAAGTTACAAAATTGATTTAAAAAATAATATTTAAGTATCTACAGCATTATACAATGAACTTTGCTTGAGATTACACGACTATGATAATACTTCCTCAAAAACTAATCAACGAAGCGACATGGAAATTCTCAATGGAACCGTAACGTTACGAGTCCTCTCCATGTAAAGTACATTTCGCAAATTTTCCGTGCGCTTTCCACCGTGCGTTGCATAAAAATCTAAGACGTAAAAGACCGATAGATAACGCGGCGTCAACACACGCAAAGTTCCGTGACTTTACGGATAGTTCATCGGGAAATACGCAGCGAATACACACAACGTCCATAGTCGTGAATCCGTAACCGATAGCAATGGCAGCCGCGCAACGAGCGAACGGAAGGTTTCCCGATCCGCGGTGCTTGAACCGGCAAACAGGTCGATCGAGTTGACACGCTCGTCGACGCGACGAAGGTAAACTAACAAACGCGTCGTCGGAAAATTCTGCCCGGCGATACAGATCGGCTGGCCGATAATAGAACGGGGGTCGGGAACGATTCCGTCAATTCGGACGCGTCCCACGGTGGGATTCAAGCGAGTGCCGCTCATTTTAGATTCCGTAGATCAGCACGATTATTTATCGGCGATTCTCGAGATCGAGGAAATATCTGGCACAATGTTCCGAGACGGCTAATCGGCGCGGTGGTTCCGCGAAAATAAACTATCGTCGCCACGTGTGATTGCTGGGACGAATCATCCGGCCGTCGTGGAATTGATAAAAAAGAACGGGCTCCGCCGGTCTAACGGTATCGGAATCGTAATGGGACGCTTCGTTGACGAACGATTACGAATCCGTCCACAGATACCGGGATCGAATCAAAGAATCGTCTAAGCTGCGCTGTTACGTTCGACTGCTGTATACGAGACGGCTGTACAGATTCGAATTTTCCATTGATTAAGTAATTAACTGTTGCTTTTACCGAGTAAAATAGTTTTGAGTCTTCGTTATACTAATTCCCGAAATTGGTGGAAGCTGAACGTTCGCTTCTGAATCAAGTCGAACCGAGCCAGGGTTAACGTTAGAGCTAACCCGGACTGAAATTGACCTACTTCAGGATTCTTAGTTTGCGAGTATTTAAATCGTCAAGGCGTTTTCGCGAATGATTTTCAACGAGACTTCTGTATCCGTACAGGTACCGAGATTAGACCCTTCAAATCTCGAGAAACGTGTTCTAATTTTTACTAAAAAAAATTGGAAATAGGTCACTCCGGTTGCTCGGTGGTTCTAGCGTCAACCCTCTGCACTCGTAAGCCTTTCATTAAAAATATTCAACAATTTTCCAATGAACTATAGACGACTTTAAAACGAAGTAAACGAGAGAACATGCACAAGTTAAGAAACAAAGTTATTCTCTCAATATTCCACATATTTATGGATTTCTCGAAGCTTAACATCGTATATGAGACTTTACGATGTCACTACATCAAATGAAATGGTAACTGAGAGTCACCTCTCGAGTGCAGAGTTAAAATGTAAATTTGTAAGACGTCTTTCAAATTTCAATCATAAATTGCCGAAGATGGTCCGATACGGAAGAAACGAGGGCTTTCGAAAGTAGGCTGCGCGTTTCATTAATTTCACGTTATTCTCGTGGCGAAGTCCCATTTTCTCCATTAACGCGTTTCATTGATTTCACGTGAAGGCACACCGCAAGCTTTCCCATCATGCTCCGGACGAGACGCAACGCGCATTTTCCGACCAGTCGTTCATGAACGCTACGATATTGCAATTCAAGGCCATTATCGACAATCGACGTCAATTATTTTGGATCGGCCTGCGAACGCTCATTTGCGATCGCCTTCGTTTACCGTTTTAAGAACTCCCGAATAAATCTAACGTCGCGTGCTTCCCCTGGGAATATTTTCGCCGGAGGAACACGCTCGGACAACTTATCTCAGATTTATCGGGAGACAACTCGAAGCTTCGATACTGCCGTTCAATGCCATTGTCGATCGGCAATGCTGTTTTTAGTAGTGACACTTATCAGATAACGAGGCAGAGATTTAGAACGAAATTATATAATTTTTTGGTAATACGTCTGGCAGTTGCGTAATCTTTATGAATGTATGAAAAACAGGTAACAGATTTTAGACGCAATAGTGTAATTAACACGTTAAATGCAATGACAGTCGTCGATGACTAACGCTTCTGAATTACTTGAAAACAATCGTAACGTGCAAGATAGTCGATGTCGAATCAAAACGTTTAATAACGTAACTGAATTGATAATAATGTGATAAAGATTGTAACGCCAAATAGTGAATAATTGTTGCTACTTTTCTTTGCTGATAAGGATGTACAGAAAAATGGTCAAGATTTATTAATATCTGTTACCTGTTTTTAAACTAAATTTTTGGAAACTAATTTCCATTGATTGTCGTTTTTTTCTTCTATATTTGAGAAATAAGTGAATTAATCATCTTTTTTTTGAGAGATGTAACTATTGGTAGACTTATTAGTTTACGGACTTTAGTATAACCCTTTCGTGGTTAGGTAACTAAGAATTTCGAATACAGAAAATGGCTGTCTATTTAATATCCGTTTTTTCAAATTAGTTGTAGAAATATTACCAATAATAAATACAATTGAAATTTCCCTTTGAAGTTTTTACCTTAACTCCGACATAATTCTATTTACAACACTGCATATATAATATTCAACTTTCACCATTTCACTAAAAAGTACGAATACCTTCGTATAGAGGAAGGAAAGAAAATTCTAAACGCCATGGTGGTTCGATATATCGAATATATTCATATTCGATATCGAGTCCGTATACTCGATATCGAAAAAGCTCGGTAGCCATTTTGAATATTTTAACAGTCCTTCGATCGTTCGCTCCGACTGACATGATTCAATTTAAGATACGAGTCATGACATTTCAATAATTGGATAAGAACGTCTACGAATGTCAACGGGAAAAAATTCTAAACGGCTACGAACGATTCAATACGTTTTGCTGATGCGGACCATTGAAGAAACTTCGAACACGTGTACCAGCGGATTGCCAGTGGAATCGGCAGGGGTGGGGATAAACACCGTGCGTCGCGTAAGTAGAGACCAATGCTAGCGAGGAGCTTGATAAAATCACTTTTACCGCCGTTACTCAACTTCACCGAGCGTACAGGTAGCCGTGGTATGCGCGCAGTGACTCTGGTACACAACACTGCCACAGAACACTAACGATTCGAATTTCGTGTGGCTTCTTTGCCGATCATGAAGAAAAGTAGAAAGTCATAATTCCTGCATTACGCGAACTTCGTAACGTTACATTTGCTCGGACAGCAGCGTAACGCGTCACGTGATGTTTAATTATGTATACACACAACGGAAACGCGTACTGATTCCGATATATCGTGACGATAAATAGCATGTAGGAGGTAACCTTCTGAAGTATTTTCTGTTATTACAAACACTGAATTATCAGAACAGCAGGAGTACCACAAGCCACAGCTCGATGATAAAACTAGTACGTATGATAGATAAAATAATTTTCCAACGAGTAAATACGTAACTGGTTTACAGTAAGTGTAACATTGTTGCACGTACGAGCCTACGGTGTCGCAAGATTGAAATGTACACTGTGTTTACTTACCGTTGAGACCATATTTCTCCTGGTTCCTCTTCACCTGGTCACCAGACAATCCTTTCTCCGGGTCAACGTTGAAATAACCTACTACCTCCTCCACGGTTTTGCAATGGCCGTCCTCCATGATTGGTTTTGTATTAGTATGTCACTAATCTTATCTGTTCAATAGTTGTCCACGTTCATTCACACTGTAGTTTCTGGAATACGAACATACCTTGCGTTAGAACCAAATCATCTACGGTTGGAGACAGATAATCATAAAGCACAGTTCACTGTACACTAAATTGTTACCAATAATACAAATTTCAAATGTGGACGAGGAGATAACAAGGAAATAATAAGAAAATGAGGCCAGAAAACGAGGAAGGAGCCACTCCAAATGATAGGAACATAGGAAATGTGTGTCAAAGTATATTGATTCCAATCCCCATAAAAATTCCAAAATAAGGAAGTAGGGAACAGCTCTGAATACACATGGATCGACGAATGGAAGTAAAAAGTCCAAGGAGTACGTTGAACAAACGAACGCGTCGAGTCGGGAGCACACGAAATAATAGGAGCTGACAATGAACACGCAAAATGCACCGCGTGTACGCACTTCTCACGGTCGCATCGCAGACTGTTAAAGGTTAAAACCTGGCCAGGCCGTGATAACTCGGTGGCGCGTGTACGACCCGATTTTTCCTGGCCCTATTCGCTCGAGGACGCCGCGACGCGAAGTTCCAACGGTTAAAACGAAACTCACCGAGAACGGTGGCGAGGTGTTCGATGCCGACGTGTCACAGAAAAATTACGTTACGGTTGCCGACTATTTAGGTTAGCTACAGGTCCCTAAGATGCACTCGAGCACAGAAAAAAAACGAACGTGGAAAGGAATTGGCACGAAAAATACTCGCCGGACGCTAATAATAATAGTCCTGCGGCCGGAACACGACGTATCACGATACGCGGGCACAGAAATTCGAGACACACGTCATTTTCTTAACTGATATATTTCTCCCTAACTGCTAAGCAAACCTCCTCTTCCGTGAGACTGACGCAGCGAACGGCGAATTATCGCGCACGTGCGCCACCTCGCGGAATGCGCCATTAACAAGTTGCAGGCGCAGTTGCCACCGCGCCGTCTACGATCCCACGGTGAGACGTAAATATCGGGAATACGCTGGGGAATTACTAAACAATATCGTTCGTTCCACGTTACCCGATATCCGTTCGTATCCGTGCCGTGCGAATCCCGTAGGATCACGGGAACGTGGGGGTTGTCGCGGTTTATTTCGCGGGTCGCGCGTCACGGTCGGCGCGCCACACCGCAGGAAAAGTGCGTGCGAGTCGAACGGACCGAGCATGTGGAACGACGCCATTGGCTGGACAGCGTTCGTGAAGTATGACGCGCTCGGCTATTTTCAGTCTTCTGCTAGTCTATTTCCTTGGCGCGTATTTTAAGACATTCAAAGGACATTACTATATTGTCGTTATGTAACTGTTGCTCTTATAATTTCATTTCGAGGATTTCGCGTGAATTAACGACGCGATCGGCTCGGAGGACCCGCGACAGGGAGATCTGGCCGATCGGTTCAACGAATCGGAAGAGACTTTTGTTCGGCCGTTAGTTATGTAAGAGCGAGACAACCGGAGTCTGGAAATTGTATGAAATTTTTCAAACCGGTTACGTAACGTTAGAAAACTTAGGTTAAGTATACTCGCACTTTGTTTTCCCGTTGCCTGATGTCATTGGTGACAGGCGTATTTTTAAATTCTTTATTTCCCTAGCGTTAATATAGAATCGCGGCGTCTAGGGCGTCGATGGTAAAATTCGCGACGGATAATGAAAGCGTACGCGTTGGCGCTATTTAAAAATATTATTCCGTCGTCTATTTGCATAGAAGGAAATTATCGATTCAGTTGAGTCATTGGCTGTCACACTGGACTTACTCTAAAATCGTCGAACGTAAAGAGGAACGTCGCGCTGCGCTTTCGTCAAGAATCTAGACAAATGTGAACAAAAAGAATCTCGTTTATTGATTAGCATGTTTTCACAATCGATTCATTTTTATTTGTTCGTCGTGATCGGTAAAACGTCAGGGAAATGTTCGTCGTGCGTCCAAGGAGATTGCACAACGTTTATCCATTATGCGATGACACATAAACGCTTGTCGCGGCACGCAAAGGGATCCGAGCGTCGACGGTCCCATTCGTTTACGTGTTATCCAGCTGCGTAACGATGTTAGTAGTACGTAAGCACACAGAAAACTCATTGCACGATCGGAAACTCCAATGTCGATCGGCAGCCGCGGGTTCAAGGCCGATGTGCAGCGAACTTCGAATTTGAATCAAGTTTAAAGGTCGTATATAGTAAACGTCGAAGCCAAGGTTAGACGCTAAACTTAAATGTCAGCGGGAGGGTGGTGCAGCCCATCGGGGTTACGGTCACCAAAATCGGTCACAAGCGACGACTGCCACGTACAAAGAGTTTGCCGCATGGACAAATCGTCCAACGGTCCCGGCGATCATCCGAGTCCGGTTCCGTTCGACCAGCGAAAACCTTCGAACGGACAATCCCGATGGAACGACACCCGAAGCTAGAGTCACGCTTGATCAAACCCTCTACCAACGATCAAATCATCCTCTCTTTCTCTTTCTCTCACTCTCTCTCTCGCTCTCTCTCTCTCTTTCTCCCTTTAAAGCGCATTCAAACAAGAAATGTGAAAAAATTCCCGCCAACTAACCCTTTCGACGCTAATGTAGACGGCTGTCTCGTTGCACCAACGAAAATACGCAAACGGTCATATCATTCGGTTTGGCAGACTTTGAATAAAGGCACGCGCTAAAAGGCCAGACGATTGCGGCTGGGCGATTGGTCGCACGGGACTGGCGGGTACACTTTGAAACCGGTACGAAACCTGTCCGGCCGACCAGCTCGCTCGTACGCCCGGGACGCGACTAGCCGGCCAAATCGCGCGTGCCCCAGCGGACGATTTTAGCACGTCTCTGACGACGACTTCCTAATTATTTTGGCAGAGATGTTCAGGAGCCACTCTGATTTCTCTCCCTGCCCTCCCTCCCTCCTACCCTTTCACTCTATCGCGCTACCACTGGCTGCGTCTACGCGTCCCTCTCCCTCGGCCGTTCTTCCCTTATCTCTAGCCCCGACGCTCCTCCCTCTTTTTACCGTCTACGCGCACTTTTCATACGGTTTACCTTTACGCTCGTCTGCTCAGCGTCTACTTTTAGATCGCACGTTTCGAATTCAATTTTCACCGCCAACAGGCCAGTGTCACCTTCGTTTTCGCCGGAACGGTACCTGCGCCTGGGCGCAGGATCCTCGCCGAGGTACCGCGGTCCCATGAATTTCCCGGCTGTCCCTCGCGGAGCAGCGGGTAAAGTGTAAAACGATTTACGCGCGGGGCGCGATGAGTCATTGAAATTAAAAGGGGGCGAAACGCTAATGCCAAAATATTGTTAGGTAACCGGCTGGCGGTGATATAATATTCGAATCGTTGCGGCGCGGCGGAACGGTTTCTATTTGAAGATGAGATGCAACATGGTGGACGGGTTATAAAGATAGGAAATGTAGTACGTTTGTTGGCAAACAAGTAGAGGTCGTGTTTGTATGTAACGCGAGCCTCACATCGACACGTCCGATGAAGCAACACACTATGTTAGTCTAGCTGAATCTTGGGTATGCCACGCTAATCTGAGAGGTAACCAAAAGCATTCGACGCGGAGTTTTCGACGGAAAGTACCATTCTCGAGGAAGAGAGTTGTTCGCGATACTTGACGAAAGAAATTACCGTTTCGTCGCTACAAATGCTTCGCGAGAGGTCGCTAATTCTATTCCTTTAGCGCGAAACTTATTAAACGTACCGAAACTTTATAGGCTCGGAGGTGCCGTTGCAACTCTAATTATCGAGCGGATATGAACGCGTTATCGCCACAATTTCGACTGAACCTTCTAATCAATTGTTTCCCTATCGACGGATATTCCTTCGAAATCGATCGTTAATGTAAAAGGGAAGAGAGGTCACTGGACACCGAACTCAGGATCGAAACTGATGATCGGAGGCGGCGCACATACGATATATCGGTCGAGAATGAAAGATGATATTTAGTCGTTATCGTTGGACTTTTCACGGTTCCGTAACAAATCCACAAGAATCCACGGTGCGGCTAGTCCCGTTTAGCTTTACTGTCACACATCACTTTTCGGTGTCCATGTCCTTCTATACTTTCATCGCCGCTGTTCTCTATTTCTCCCATTAGTTCACACTGTGTCAGGATGTACCGTCACAAAACACTAACTTGGCGGTGTCACCGGTGCTGGTGCTCAGCGAGTGGACTTACCAATGCTTCTTTCTTCACCGGTCGACCGTTTCGATCGATTTGTCGATTCGTCGAAAACCGGCACCGTAGGTCCCGGTTCCAAACACTGGTCAGGGCGGCACGAGTTCGTACGGCAGCTTACAAACGTATTATCTTGTAACACTGTGTAAAACTGAATCTAGGTGAGAATATCCGGATCGACTACTCCTCCGTGAGCATCGCTCGAAACGCGTGCTTACTATTTACTCTTTACATGGAAGGGTGAGGACGAAAACAAACAACAAACATTCAAAGGGCAACGCCTGCGCTACTGAACAAAACGAAGCAACGAACGTCGCCGAAATTCCTTTAAATAGTCCGTAGGCGTCGCTACCTGGCGGCGAGACATCGAACGAGGGAAAACTCTGGCCGGAAGCCAGTGGTCCCGGCGACTGCCGCACAGCCTCCTGTGGCTGTCGTCGCAGTTTTTTCGATTTAACCTTCGAATTCGGTTAGCCGTCGCTCGCGGAGATTCGGAACCGACGCTTCGGGACCCTGTGCTTTGTTCACCGGCAGCAACAATTCCTCGTCAAACGAATCGCCCCATCGGTCGCTCCTCGGGCCGACTTCCGGTACCGCGCCGCCTCCGCCACCATGCGAACCGTTGGTCTCCTCCACGGATCCTGTCGCGGCTCGATTCTTTTCAGGAGGCGAACTATGAACGCGTGCGATAAGATTTCGGTCCGGTAAATCTTCTCGGGAAGCATATATTCGGACCGGTCGCGGTGGAAGCTGTCGATCTTAAAGAAAGATTATTATTCGAGGCGATCGTTCCACGTAACAATCGATACAATGTACTTATTGGAAATGCTCAAGGTACGGATTTTTCTTAAGATCGAAAATAGGTGGTTGGCGTGCATCCAAATGCGATATCAGGTACAACCTCAAAGGTAATTTATCGACGGCGACCCCCAACGACCGAACTTGTCCGAGAAATTTGTTATTTCGCCAGTTGAGACACATCATTTATATTATCGGCCCGAACAAGGCGAAACCACGGATTAAGCTTCGCCGCTTTGTTCCGTTATTGTCTCCGCGGTGACAGGCACGAGGCGGTGAACCTTGGTCGTTTCGAGGAAACCACAAATCGTTACATAATTTTCCTTTCGCGCTGCGCGGCCCAACGTGTAGTAAATTTAAAATAAGTCGCCGCTTGTTACCAGGAGTGAGATCTTTGACATCGTCTTCGGCGAACTCGCATGGTTACACTTCGCTTCGTCGTCGGTTCATCTAAAAATGATCATCTTTCGAACGAGTTCTCGAACGTCTCGAATGAACAACGCGAACTCGAAGTTGTCGCGACCCTTACGCTCGGGACTCGAGGACAATGTACGCATCGAGCATCGAATTCGTCTTAAAAAGATCACACGGCGCGGCAGTTCGATTTGGAGTTGATCGAAGGGAATTTATTAACTGCACTACGTCAACAGAATTATCCTATCCTCCCGCAACCCTGCCTCCACGGATTGAACGAGTGACTGGCATAACTAGCGGCCGGAATCGTCCGCGATATTCTCCGAAAGTATCCTAGCTTGATCAGCGATTCTCATGCGTTAGGATTCGCGCGGTGAAGTACTAGGAGCATTATTCATAAATAGGTGCAGAAAAGAACCATTAGCCGCCCACGCGATGGCGCTTGAATGCTTCACGCATAAGATTAGGAGGGAGAGAGCGAACGAGCGAGCGAGCGAGCGGTCGGAGAGCAGATGGGGGCTAAGGGAGAAGAAGGAAGTCGTACGGTCAACGTTCCGCGCTTTCCTCGCGATTCTGAGATACATTTAACCCTTTGCACTCGGAGGGCGACGCTTGATTTCATACGGGAACATTATACACTTTGATATTTAATATTAGTCTTCGTGCAACGCACCGACATGATCAAAATTACCTATTCCTGATGTCTTTTCGCAATTATTCAGAAGATGACAGATGATCTGAGAAATGATTAAAGAAACCGATTTAGCAGTACGCAAACCGAATTGTAAATCAATTAGAGTCTCAATAGATGCACACTCGGAGTTTCTATAGAGGAATTTCAAGAAGACATGTTTCTTTCTTAAAATCGAGTGCAAAGGGTTAATATCGAGCTGCGTCTCTGGTTCCTATGAAATCCATTTCAGCCGGGCTAACCGATCTTCCCGCGTATCGACTGATTTTACAACGTCAGTGGAATAAATCGGAAGTACGTATATCAGCTGCCGATCAGAAATAAACACGTAGCAAAGTAATGGAGGATATTGCGTGCAGTCGCGAGCTTATTCTCGGAAATGCCGTACGAATCGAGCGAACCGCGCTCCCTTGAGCCGGCCAAATGAAACGGGACCGACGCGTCGGTTGTTTGACTGTACGTGTCACAAAGTTTCGGCGATCGAGCCCGTAATATGCTCTTATTCATCGGAAACGAAAGCCGTGCCGTGGTGACCGCCTCGTGGCAGAAATCGGTTGATAAGTTGTCGTGGAACGCTCGGCTATAGGTCCGAGCCATTTTCTCATTACGACGAACGAAAATAGACGTCGTTATTTCGTCGGTAACTCGTAGTCGCGGTTCAAAGCATGACGTTATTTTTAGGTAAAACATAAAGTGTTACGTAAAACTCAGCTACCGTACCGACGTTCCGGGATTCATTAGGCGAACGATATTTTTCTTTTTTATCTTCGAGCACCGGGAAAGGCCACGCCATCTTTCGCGCGTTCATTAGCGTGGAAAGGTATTTTAAGCGGTGCAGTCTTTTTAAATCGTGCCGGAGCAGTAAAAAAATTTAAACGGCGCTACGCGGGATATCAAAGCCTCGCTCTTGAAAGGGTCACCGATGCGGCCGAGGGGGAGGGGGGAGGAATGATCTCGTTTAATTTTAATATCCTTGTCGCACGATTGTTTATGGGACCGTTCGAGCGAAACGATACTCCGTTCAGCGGAACACGTGTTCCGGCGACTTTGATTCCACGCTAACGCGGATTTCAATGGACAGACCCCTCGAAATAGAGCCTCGAGCGTGTCAGCTTGAAGCCGCTCGCAAACGGCAGCCCGAATCCTGTTTATTTATGGACGTTTTTATAAATGAAGTGCTAAACACTCGTGATGGGACAGCGTGTCAGCTCCAGTGATCGATGGAATGTAACATGTTCCGAGTTGAATTTCTTTTCCCCGTTCGACAGAACACACCGGCCCGAGCCGGGGGTGAACGGGCGGACTGCGCCGACTAAAATATTGTGCGCCGCTTTAAATGGGACAAATCGGAACGCCGATAGAAAGTTCGCCGAGGGTCGTCTATATTCATAAAACACGGGGCCGATCGTCGGGCGCAAGAGGGACGGCGAAACGATGCTCAACTGGCTTTCGGGCTCGGCCAACAAATCACCGCGATCGCGCGGAAGATGGTCCTCCAAGATTTAAGGGGAGGCATCAAGAGGATCAAAGTTGAGATTTCGTATGACAGATAGGGGTTACGAGGAGCAGAGCGTGCGAGATACGTCTATTCTGGATTCTGGCAACAATAATGCCTCCCAGGGACAGCGAGTGGATTGGGCGTAACACGCGCCGTAGTCCCGCAAACAACTAATGACGCGCCTCGTACAAAGGCCGCCCGGTCTAATTTCGTATTATCCTGTCGGTTCCTAAAAATATGCGCGGGACACGGATGCGAGCGTGGGTACGTTCACTTTTTAACGAGGAAGCGGAAACTCTTGTGCGTCGCTCGTCCATCGGCGAACCGTTCCTTCGGAGTACAGTGTTCCCGAGGTATTAGGGTAAATACGCGCGGACGTTCGCCGTGACGGTGTTCCAGATATACGACGAAGGATTTCGGCGTCTGTGAATTCTAGGGAATCCCTGTCGGGCCCGTAAATCTCCTTTCCTTACACGAACCGTTCGATTAACGCGAAGATAGTGTTGTTGCTCCGCTGTTTCGACTTAGCCGTGCGACAACTGCGAATGAAATTTAACCTCTTCGCCTGCGTTATCGAGTCGGAATCGTGGTGAAGACTTTAAAGTGCATCCGACAAATCTGAGAATTATCTGTTTCCTCTGAATTAAATATTACTTTCCTATTATCAACCGTTAATCTTTCGAATAAACGTAGACAGAGTAAGCATCGAGATGTTTCCTTTTTCTAATGAATTATTAATGATACAGTAGTGTCGATCATTAAGAAATAAATCACGGAGCAAGGGGTTGATTATAAACTACTAGATTCTATATTAACATTCCATCGAACACACTGCGAGCAATTAAAAAAGGTCTTCCCTGAAAATTTGCCACAGAAAACCTTAGAAAGCCCCGTACACCCCTCGAAACCCCTAAAGAATAACCACGTCGATCGAGGGTAACTTTCTCCATTGTTCTTTCTTTGAGCGGCATACTTGAAACGTCTTCTAAACGTAGAAATAGTTCACTGGGTGAGATAAGCTCGGTCCCCGAGACTGTTACAATTTGAGCTATTGGGAAAAGAGGACAGTGTCTTTAGCTGCGCGCTGACAGATACACGCGTCGCACGTTTTACTAGCTCGCGGTGGATCCCCCGACGAGGAGCACACATAATTCCATCTGTCCCTGCGTCCGACGACGAGAGACAGCCCTCCGAGATCCGACTTGGGAGATTCGTCTCGTTCCATGCGATTTTCCTAATCCGACCTAGCAAGGAATTCGTTCGCCGGAGAACTTCGGGGATCTAGTTTTCCGATCGTCGCCATCGCCCGCGCCGTGAGCAGCGTGCACGTGTGCAGTACGTACCGTTGAACGACAACGGGTCTTTGGCTCAGCGTGTTGCGTCAGAGCGGACATTCTTTCCGGTAGGAAGTCTGTGACGCGGAGTCAACGCGTCTGTCAAGCGAGCTCGATAGCCGCGGATCAAGAACGATCGGCCCGCGGGCCGGGGACGCGCCGCCGCGGCGATTTTCAGGGTTAACCGGAATATCGGTGCCACTTATGTAAAATCATGTGCGAATAACATTGGTCTAATTATAAACACGGCAGTCGGCTTGGTTCTGTACACGTTCATTACCTGCGCGTACGCTGCTCGAGTAATTTGCGATGCAGTCGCTCTTAGGTGCTCACGACCTAAACTAAAAATACGTGGGGACCGATCAACGGCCAACTGGGCCAGTGAAGTAACCGTAGCTCAACGTCCCAAATATAGTCCGACATCTCTACATAGCGACTGCCGATAGTTGGCATCTGCAGCGAAGTACAAGAGCACCGAGAGTATAATAGCGGCTGTCACCAAGACTCCCTAATCACACGACTATCGTTGAACCGCTCGATTCTAACGTCTAATTTTGGTACAACGTTTTCGTGTTCCCGAAAA